GAAGCAACCCCTAAATCGAAGAAAGAATCGGAAATCTGTTATTAATAAATCATGGCCGATTATCTCTCCGCGGGTCTATCCTCCCGCGTTATCCTTAAGGATACCGAAACTTAGGATGTATAGATCGCTAATATCGAATCGATTATAGTGTAATTTGATGTTTGGGAGCTATGTGATCCTAGTAAGGAAAAAGAACCGGAGATACGGAAAGCTCCGGTAGAGATTATATTGATTGAAGAAGCGGAGAAGAAGTATAGCGATAAATAGGTCGATACTTATAAAGTGATTTAATCGAATTAGTCGATAAAGAATATACTATATACCTAGGAAAAGAAGGGGTTAAGTATAATTGTAACGGTAATCCGGAATAGTGTTTATATAAACTTCTAGCTGTTTATTATAAACTATAAGACTCTATATAGTCTACTCCGAAACCTTCGAGAAAGGTTCGCCTCGGAGTATAATCCGATCTATTCTACTAGGCTCCGTTAATAATAGAGAAGCCTAGATAGAGGGTTAGATAAAAATATAAATATTAATAAATAGTTATTAAACTAAGAGATAGTTTAATTAAGCTATAAAAGAGTAGGAATACTAGAGGTAAATAACGCTTCGACTTAGTTCCTTAATACTATCTTAGTAATATTACCTAGATTCTACGAGATATAGACTCTAAGACTATAAGATAAAGAAGATATCGGATTTACTAAGCTTCTTAATCGGTATCGAGTATACTAGAAGATTACCTATAGTAAGCTAGTTGCTAATTAAAGAGGTATCTCTAAAACTGCTTTTTCGATATAGTAAGGCTATAAAGAAGCTAAGCTAAAGACCTCGGATAAAAAGTTAGCTAAGATAAAGTTAGCTAAAGAACTACCGTTTAAATTAAAGCTATATCTATATAGATAGAACTATAGACGGCACCTACCTTAGAAATATTAGGACGTCTTTAATAAGGATAAACCTTTTAGGTATACTAGAAATAAGGAAGCTAAGTAGAAATAAGAGAAAGCTATAAAGGCTAACCCTACTTAGAAAGCCTAGGTTAATAAGAAACGTTAAGAAAACCTATAGGGGAAGGTAGCTTAGTAAGTAAATACTACCCTTAATAACGAAGATAACTTATTATATAGGTTCTTCTCTATTTAGGCCGGCGAGTTAAAGAAAGGTAAGCTATAGGCCGGCGTACTAAAGGTAGGTAAGCCCTAGGTAAGTAAGCCAGCGGCTAGTAAGCAAATTCTAACCTCTACTATTATATCTACCTAAATTCTCGATACCGAACCGATTAGATAGAGATAGGTAGTCGATACCGGCGCGTAGATATATATTTATAATAATCGGGAGTGGTTTAAAACTTTCGAAGATATATAGAGTAGTATTAGGGTAGGAGATATAGAAACGAGTATCGATAGGGTAGGTACTATAGTAATCTATAATATTAGCCCTATTAATAGAAAAGTAGTTAAAATAAAGCTATATAACGCTAAGTACTCGCCTAATTTCTATAGTAATCTAATATTTAATAGGTTAATAATAAAAGCGAGGCTAATAATAAACTTCCGAAAGAACTATATTAAATTAACTAAGAAACCGGTATACTAAGTATATTAGGATTAGAAGTTAATATAATTAAAATAACTAACTAGTAAAGGATTAGCTTTTACTATAAAGAAGTTAGTAAGAGAACTAAAGTTAGAAGCTTCGATCTAAACTTAATATAGGCGCCTAGGCTATATTAGTTAGTAACGTCTTACTAAGCTAGTAGAGATAATTAAGGGGATTACTATTAAAAGCAATCTTAGTAAGGAGTAGGTATATAAAGCTTATTAATTAGTAGATACCCTAAAGCAAATCTCTCGCTAGAAAATAGGCTAAGTATATAGTATATTTAGACGTATCTACTTCGATCTAGTATAGAATTAAACTACTTATAATAGATATATCTAGATAACGTATTTTTACCTTAATAATATTAAGTACTACTTTGTCTTTATATATACTAAGAAAAGTGAATACTAAATAGTAGTTAAGAAGTTCCTAGTATTAGTTAAGAACTAGCTAAAAATCGAGATTAAGATATTCTACTATAATAATAAGCGGAGTATAGGTCTCGAAGTTAAAATAATAATAGAAGCCGAGGGATATATAATTAAGTATTCGCTACCTAGCTTACTAGAGATAAATAGTCCTACCGAGAGATCTAGGGGGATAGTAGTAAGAACTACTAGAGTTCTAATTAATAATATAGATCTCCCTAAGAATCTATAGCTAGAGGTAATATATATAGTAGTATATATCCTTAATAAGACTCCGATAAAGATTAGAGATCAATAGATTATACCTTAGAAAGAACTAATAAAGTATATTATATTAGATAGTATCTATTACTAAGAGATTAACCTTTTAAATATAAGGTTATATAGCTATCTAACGTACTCGAGAATTATTAAGAGAGTCTAATTAGATAAGATAGTACTTAGAGTAGAGATAGGATATCTCGTAGGGTATATCTCTAAGAACCTATATAAGATATAATTCCCCTATAAAGGCCGTAATAGAAGGGTAGACGTCGTTAGAGATACCGTTTTCGATAAATTAAGGAGGTATTCAAAATCGATACCTAAGGAAGAAGATGCTATTAGTATTATAATAGATAGACTAAGTATCTAGGATAACTAGCCGTAGGTACTTACTAATAATAAAGTATAGGTTGAGATTAGTACCTAGATAGAGATACCTAGATCGATAGCTAGGATAGTACTATATAATAAAACTAAGTATACTAAGTAAGCTAGAGATAATATAGTTAATATAGCTAATAATATAGTTAATATAGTTGATATAGCTAATAATCTAGTTAATAGAAATAATAGAAATAATAATAAAGAAGAGGTTAGGTAGAGAATCCTACTATAAGTTAGAAAGGAAGCAGCTAGATTGCCTACCCTATAGTTAATAATTAGACTAAAAAAACAAATAAAAGAGCAAATAATAGGAGAGTAAATAAATCTATAGAGAGGCCTACTAGGAAACTTCCTAGATATACTATCCTCCCTACTACTATTAAGATTATTATTATCACTATTAAAACTAGCCTTAGTATCCCTAAATCTATCGATTCTATCGAATCCGGAGCCCCGAGAAGTATTATTGTTACTAGATCCGATCTCCGTAATCCTATCGATCGAAACTAGGGGGGTAGATAGGGATATAGAAGTAAGAGATAATAAAGTAAGTAATAATAAAGTAGAGATAGAGAGATAGCTATAAAGGGAAATAGTAGACTTACCGGTACTATTATTATCCTATCGAGAGTAGTCCTATCGAGAGTAGTTCTATCGAGCGTCCTCCTAAGTATCGTTATTATTATCCTAACGAGTACTAAGAGATATATTAGGTGATATAGATATATTAAATATTATTACCGGTAGTAGATCTAGGAGACTAAGGACGGATCTAGATTATACTACCTACTTATCTCTTAATCTACTAAGCCTACTTTATACCTTCTCTATAGGTATAAGTAAAAGATTCGATAAGAAGCTTTACCGAGATAAACTTCCCCCGCTACTAGAGAACTAGGTATAGATTAAGAAGTACTAGTTCGGAGAAGGTTTTATAGTAGCGGTAAGCTTCGAAGTTTAGACGCTTAAGAAGAAAGAGACCTATACTAAGGTACTAATTCCGAATTAAAGAGGAGTCTAGGTACTACCTTTAAAATAGGTCCTTATCTATAAATTTAATATAGATAGATTTCTCGAGAAGTTTAAAGCGAGAATCTACGTTAGAGGTGATCTTTAATAGATGTCGATAGAAGAGAAAAGGGTAGCTACCCTAGCTATTAAAATAGCGAGAGCAATCTTTACCTTAGTAGTAGCCTTTAATCTCGATATAATATAGAGAGACGTAGTTACTATATTCCTAAACTTAGTACTCTAAAGTAAGGTTTATACTAAGTACCCGTAAGGATTCGAAGTATAAGATTAATATTAGCTACTCTATAGAGCTTTCTATAGCTTATAAATATTACTAAGATTATAGTAGTAAGAAGTAATAAAGATACTAGTAAAGCTAGGCCTTACCCTAGTACCGGAAGATCTATATATCTTTATAAAGAATAGTATTATCGTCTTCTTCTATATAGACGATATTATTATTATAAACTATCTAGATCCTTACTATATTAAGAAGGTAGCTAAGCTAGATAATAATATTAAGAAGTAATAGGAATTACGAGAACTAGAAGCAAACTAGTTCTTAAATATCCGTATTATTAGAAATAAAGATTAGATAAAACTCTAGTTATACTAAGATAGTGATGAGCAATCTATGTAAGATTACTACTGAGGGGGAAAAAGTAGAAGAAAGATTCTTAATTGCTAAAACTAATTATGCAGGGGTTTATATACCCTGCAAACCATCTGAACATAAACAACAAATAGCAAACAAAAGAAGGCTCAGTCTGTATCAAACAATCAAGCATGCATGCCTGAGGGTTCAACACACCCCCCCAGACTGAGTATCAAAAATAAATCATAAAAATCAATCTGGTTTGCATAGTAAAATCATGCATAAAATCAACAATTTCCAAGTATCAAATTCCATCAATTTGTCGTCATTTCCTTCTCAATTTTCTTCGTAACCAGTTGCTCTCTCAATCTTTCAAAATCAACCTTCGGTAAGGCCTTTGTCAATACATCAGCTGGATTTGACTTTGAATCAATGACTCTAATATCAATCCATTTGGCCTTCCAGGCATGCTTCACGAAGTGGTATTTCACATCCAACCACTTAGTGCTCTTTTTAAAAGCATCATTCTTCAAGATTGCAACTGTATTGTCGCTGTCAGTGCAGATCGGGACTTGAACTTTATCTTTGACTTCAAGATTCAGCTGTTGAAGGATTTTGACCAGATACAATGCTTCCCGCACCGCACTATCCAAAGCAATGTACTCTGCAACAGTGCTTCCGGTAGCAACAATGTCTTGCTTCCGAGAGCTCTATAAAACCGGTGCTCCGGTATAGTAGAAAATGTAGGCCTCAGTTGATTTGCCATCTTCGTAGTCGTTATACGAAGAATCAACGTAGCCAATCAAACCATCTTCCTTAACTGCCAATTTAACTCCATAATCCGGAGCGCCTTTCAGATAGCGTAAAAGCTAAGATAAAGCTTCCAAATCTTGCTTCCTTGGGTTGGCAGTTCTTCTTTGTAATCGATTCACAGCAAAGGCTATATCTAGCCTGGTTCTCATGGTCAACCAGCCAACCTTGCCAACGTCCTCTCCATATGCAGATTTCTCTTACACCGTGATTTGTTGATCATTATCAATATCTATCTTAATGATTGATCTTATTATCGAACCGTTTGTCGTTGATCTTGAACCACTTATTATTGATTCCTTTATTGAAAAAGGTGGTTGATAGGACGCCTTTATTGGTAAGTACGTCGAGCTAACCCTACCTATACTTGCCGTTTACAAGAGGTCTTTAAGATAAGCAGCTTGGTCCATCCAGATGCCATGATCCGATCTAGTAAGACTGCAACCTAGAAACCTAGCAGGCTCCCCGATTACCTTGATCTTAAAAGTAATCGATTGCTTTAACCATTCAATATCTTCCTTCGACACTGCGGTATAGAGGGTGTTATCAACATATAGCAGAAGCCACATACTCTTCCCCTTATACCAAAAAATATATCTTTCATCAGACAGTTGTTAAAATCTAAGACTCTCCAATTGCTGTTTGATCGTTTCATACTATAGGCAAGCTGATTGACGTAAACCATACATTGCCTGGTTAATCATACAAACTTTGCCCGGTGTCTTATACCCCGTAGGTGATCTTATAAAGACGCACCTCTCGTTAATCAGGGCATTAAGATAGGTAGTCGTGTAGTCAATCTATTCCCAAAACAAATTCCGAATCATCACTATAGAGAGGAATAGTCTTGTGCTCTCTAGCCGTGCTACAGGAGCGTAGGTATCGTCAAAGTCGAAACCTAGTCTCTATCTATTACCACAGATGACCTATCGAGCTCTGAACTCGGTAATGTAGTCTTCTTTGTTACATTTGATATCAAAAACCTATTTGCCAGGTAGCACAGTGCTTCCCTTTGGTGGATCATCAATAGTTTGATAGGCCTTAGCACGATCAAGCTTTTCAACCTGTAGGTCTATCGCTTGCTGCTATAGCTCGTTCTGCGGTGAATCCAATACTTCTATCCGGTTGCGTGGAATCTTGATTTGCCAGGTCTTTAAACCTTAGGGAATATCAATTGCCACCGTACCTATCATTATCTCAATTGAATCAATTGCTGATAAAGCCTTGCCATATTTATCCCATTCTTCATCTTCGAAACGTCTTAGTAGGTTCAATTGACGTCCAAACCTAGTTCTTACCGGTTGTGGCGGAGTCAGTATAGGCGTAGATAATGGGTCCGGTGATAATAATGCCGGAGATGGTGCCGACGGTGATAGTGTAGGCATCAAATTTCCAGAAATCAACTTTGCACCCGCCTTTAGCGTAGCAAAATACATGCTTTAATCATCATCATCCTCTTCTTCATCTATCTCAATCACCCGTTGTTAATCATTAAGCTTTAGTAGTTGATCAACCTGTTGAATTTGTCGAGAACGTTATGCTATAATAATAGGTGATCTAGTTCCTTGCTTAGAATCCAAAGGGCCATCGATCACCTCCCCTTCAACGACAATATCCCGATCATTAAAGTAAGGAATTCCCTATTTCTGTTCCTAGAAAACAACGTCTCTATGCCTTATCACCTTCCTAGTTTTAGGATTATAAATTCGGTAGATATAACCATTGTCTCCTTCGTATCCGACAAGGTGGCCTATCTAGGCCCTTAGCTCCATCTTTTGGCTCTAGATTCTCCTCTCCTTCGGAATGTGAACATATGCCTTAGCATACCAGGTCCGTAGAAAAGAAAGAGTTGTATTATCGGGAGTTCGCATATTCAATTGCTTCCTCTAAGCGATCACTAGTGCATCATTTCCCTTCCTTCGAAGACGATTTATAATATAGCAAGCGGTATTCAAAGCCTCGGTCTACAATTCCTTCGGCGAACCAGCATCAATTCCCATTATCCTTGTGATTTAGAGAAGGTAATAGCCTATGAATTCGGAGACGCCATTCTGTTCATAGGCGTAGGGAGCAGAAATAGACACAATCATTATCTTGTTTCTTACCCAATTGACAAAGGTAAAGAACTCTCTCCCTCCGTCAATTCTCCATTCAAAAGTCCAAGTTGTTGTCTTTTGGTAAATATCTTCTACAAAGCGTTGTAGAACCGGTGATGCCTTACCCTTTGTTGCAAGACATAATGCAAACCGATAACGTGTTACATCATCAGTGATCACCATTGTATGTTGCCTATTATTCTTACCGTTCTCTGGGTTATATCCTAGCGGATTGACCGGCTGCAGATCGATATGAAATATGTAGGCAGCCTTTGTAGCTCTTACTTGATTGGCTCTTAATATAATCTGCTTAGACTTGCCAAGGCCACATGCCTCGCAATCAAAAGATTCATTTTCTTGAATGTCACAACCTAGATCTGCCTAATTAAGCTTAGTTTTATAAGAACCGGTATGGCCTAAACGTCTATGGGCCAGTTCCGCGGAAATCACTACAGCACCTAGAGAGGGAGAGGCCAATTAAATAAACGGCACCCTATAAAAGTCTTTGGTAAAACCGATCACCCTATCTTCGTTATCATGAAGGGTTTTCGACTTACTGTTCCACCAAATTCCTAATTCCTTCTCTACAGTGCCAAGAGAGAAGAGGTTGTATTGACCTACTCGGTGAACGCAATAGATGCTAATCTGATAGCATATTGTTATAGCATGATCAACATAAAAACTTAGTTGAACCAAGCCATAGTATTCAGCTTTAACCTTTTCATTACCGGAGGTCAACCATTCATATTCTTATCCCTTCGGATATCTCTCAGTTGTCAGAAAGGCAGATTGATCACTATAGATATACTCTGAAGCACCCGTGTCCAAAATCCATAGGTATCCATATATTACAGCCACAAATTAAATGGCTATCATTGATTGATCTGGTTGTTGAATTAGAAACCCCTCGACATCATTAAAGTCATCTAGATCTTGTTCTGCCGTAAGTTGATTGGCAAGCATATAAGAAGGATTGAAACTAGTTAGCAAACTAGCTATCGATGTTATGATAAAGCTAGTGCTCTTAGGTACAGAAAGGTTTGCCTGCTTGGTCCTATCTGTCGGTGGCCCCTAGACCTATTGAGCTTTGTCCTATTTAAATTCCGTGGGGTTTGTCGAATTGCCTCCACGGTTGTTGTCATTCTTAAAAAACCAGATCCTAGGTCTTGGAACCCATCCTTCCGGACGTTTCTCAGGATACAAATTCCAGTATAACGATATGCCATGGCCCATTACCCCTCAGTAAGAACAATTGCCATTGTTGCTTCTCTTAGGTCTGTATACTCTCCATTTATTGACATATTCCTAGGGAGACGTGCCTTTCGGAGGTAAATTCGTCAAACGAGCATTCTAAGGATTCTGAGGTTTCGGAGGGTTCGAAGGATTCGGAGGATTGTTAGATTGACGTCGTTATTAATCGTTATTAACCGCTGATATAATACCAAAGGAATCGGCGGAAGTAGACTTGATATAGTCCTGAATTGCCGTACTATATCGATAGAAATCGATTATAGTAATCGTAGTAACTAGGTTCTCAATGGCGTTTAGTTCATTATCCTTCACAATAATAAAGCTATTTAACTCTGGCACCTCCATTAGCTCTATCAGCATCGTCTGTAGAGCAAAGTAGGGCGAAATTCTAGATTTCAAATCCATCAATGTTTTGTATATTGCTTTCAATGTAACAATGAACTCATCACTTAATGAAAACTTCTTTCGTAAGATAGACCGGAAGGCTGTCATCGCTGCCTTCAAAGCACCATAACCTTCACCTTTTAGATACTTCCGAATCTCCTCCAAAAACTCATCTGCGAATATAATCGGGTTTCCCCGACCATTGATTTCCTCCATCAAGTCGCTATCTAAACTGCTAGACATCCAAGTGCGAACTTACTTAGAAAGAGTCTTCCACTTCTAGCCATTCGGGTCTCTTCGACTCGGCCAGGGGATCGATCGTTTGACCAAATTATATAAATTATGGCTCTCTAAGATCTTCTCAACCTTATCGATCCATTTATCAAGATCCTCTCTTTCTTTGAGAGGAGGAGTAATCTTATAAAGATTGAATGTTCCAACATCTGGCAGACCGACAGCTTGGTCAATAACCAAGACGTCTTCTTCATCATGCCAGTTGTTGTTGTCAGGTGGGTAGGTTGCCATTTTGACAGAATAACCACAAATTAAGGTATAGTATCTTCTACTACCCTTCAAAAACAAAGCTCTAAAGCAAGACCTAGTACTATTATAGCACTATCCTTGATGGATATTGATGAAATAATGATTCAGAGGTAGAAAAAGGGCTTCATAACCTGATGAGCAATCTATGTAAGATTACTACTGAGGGGGAAAAAGTAGAAGAAAGATTCTTAATTGCTAAAACTAATTATGCAGGGGTTTATATACCCTGCAAACCATCTGAACATAAACAACAAATAGCAAACAAAAGAAGGCTCAGTCTGTATCAAACAATCAAGCATGCATGCCTGAGGGTTCAACAGATAGTTATATTAAAAGTATAGTAGCTAAGTATAGCTTAATTACTACTAGGAAAGTAGGGTCCCTAATAAGTATAGGGACTAAACCCCTTCTTCCGTACGATAGAGTAGTATTACCGAGCTAGATTTATAGTTTTTAGGCTAAGGTTAGATCTACTTAATATACTATTATTATCTCCCGGCTAGATATAGTAAAAGCTATAGCTAAACTAGCTGAATTTCTAATAAACCCCGGTCCGAAGTATATTAATACTATTAACCGAGTGATTTAATATCTCTATAAAACTAGGTTTTAGGCTATCGAGTATAGGACTAGATAATAAAGTAAAAACCTCGGTTTAGACGAAATAAAGGGTCTCTAGTTTGCTATAAAGTTAGTTGAATTTATAAGCGATACTTCGTTCGGAGATAACAAAGATAGGAAGAGTTCGGAAGGTTATATCTATAAGTTATATAGCGGTCTAATTGATTAGAAAGTATCGAAGCAAAAGACGGTAATAACGTCGATAACTAAGGTAGAGCTTCTTACTCTAGTAGAAGCCGGAAAAACCGTCTAATAGTAGCGTCGAGTCCTTAAAGCACTTAGCTTCTAACTAGATCATCCCTTGTCCATTATATACGACAATTAGTAGATAGTCGATCTACTAACGAAGGAAGGATCGACGATATATACGAAGCTACGGCATATAGATATTAATCGATCCTGGATGAAGCAAGAAGTTAGTGTAGGTAGAGTTAAAGTGGACTAGGTTCTAACTACAGCTATGCCTATAGATGGACTTATAAAGGCGCTTCTAAGACAGAAGCAGCATCTCTTCCGAGAGATGATTGGGATGAGAGAAATCAGACATCTGATTTATCTAGAAGAAGTAGAAAAGAAGTGAGAAAATGAAGGATTGGTAGCTCTGAAAGCTAAGAAAATGCAGGCTTTAAGAGCTGGGGGGTGTGTCGAATTGCAAGGTTATATACATGGGATGATACCATGGAAGATTATGTAATCATGCTTAGTAATAACCGCACAGAAACAGCAGTTTCTATTATGTAGAAAATACAGAGTTCTCCATATCAGCCCTGAGGTCCATACATTTCAATACGTCAGATTTCTGTCATAATACTCTAGAAATCTAGAACTAGATCTCTAGTAATTATAGTATAATATTCTTAATAGATTTAATAAGTTAATCGATTACTAAAGCTTAATAGCCTTATTTTATTAAAGTAGCTAATAAAGATATATATTTTACTACGCTAAAGATAAGTATAAAGTTAATACCTACGCTATCTCTATTAGAACTATCTTTAGCTTTATTATTATTAGATCTTTTATCTATACCGACTCTATTATAACCGGTAAGAACTAGGTATAGATAGTAATCGAATATACTAAAATATTTCGAAGATAAAGAATAGGATAAGTAAGGAAGAGCTTTATT